TATGGGATTTTTGAGCCTGATGTTTATATAACTCTAAATATTTATATAATCAATAAATTATCAAAAATAGAAGAAGATTTTAAGACCGCTCCTTGCTGAATATCTTTTGCACACACACACATGCACTGAACGTGTTCTGTGACCATGGCAGATACGTAACTTGCCTCTCTAAAGATTCAAGGCTTGTGGTCCCTCTTGGTTAAAACACATTCAGACTGCTGTCATTCAGTCTGTATTGCTGTTTGTTGTCTTTGTAAAGATGAATAAAACTCATAAAGAGATCTTGGTTTGTGAAGTGCATTGAAGATGTCCACAACAAACTCTCAAGCACCTGTGTGATGATACAGCTTGAGGGAAGATCAGTTTACTTCCACAACCATCTTCACTAACCAATCACTAACCACACACTTTTTTTCTGGGGACATCAAGGCTTTTATGGCAATGGTTCTCATGCAGAAGGCCAAACTTTCTGCACCTTCCTGATAGAGACTCTTGTTCAGGTTCAGTAGCACACTAGGCTTTTATACTCTCCTTTAGCAATCAAAGTGCTTTATACTGCATGTATCTATTTACACAAGCACTTTTTTCTACACTTAAGTGCTTTCCATCCAATATTCACGCTCCAGTAAAACATTGGGAATCAATGCGGGGTTCAGTATCTTGCCCAAGGATACTTTGGCATGCAGACTGGAACAACAAGGGATTGAATTACAAACCTTCTCAAGAGTTGATGACCTGCCTCCTGATCTACAATTACCTTGTTTTTACATGCTATGATTAGTGTATTATAGGTGGTTTTTAAGGGTACATCTATAGCCTTAACTTGAAGACTGACTATCTATCTATCTATCTATCTATGTATCTATCTATGTATCTATCTATCTATCTATCTTCATAACTACACTGGAGAAAGGAAGAGTGTCAACGTGTTTCACTTCCTGCCTATCTGAATGTGGAACTGTGCATTCTATGTACAATGCATGAAGTTGAGTGGAGTGAGCATGTCAGTGGCAGCAGAATAAAGGGCGGGGCCTAAGATAAGAATGCCATACCTTCACACAGGCACCTCCCACAGTAGAACATTTAGGAAAGTTAAAGTCATAGCATACAGTCAGAGAACATGAGTGCTTAACTGAGTTGAATTTTTGTCACCTCAAGGGAAGCGCTGCTCACTGAAGTTTTCTCTCAGAGCCCTTTTTTTCCCCTAACCCTATCAGTAACACTATCAGTAACACTATCAGTAAATGCATGTGAAAACAGTGAATCCAACCTCTGCTCATGGTTAAAGTCACTTAGATCAACTATATTCATTGTTCTGATGCATGCAAAGAAAGAATGAAGTGAAATAAGTGTGAAAACAACACAGTATTTGTTGCGTGTGGTTTTAAAGGCTAGCGTTTCTGTGGCTTTCAATTCGGCTGATAAACAGTGCTGTCACCACAGTGGAAAATAACAGGGGGAGGTGCACGAGACCTGTTGCGCGCCAGAATGTGCTCAAGAATATGGTCAGGCAAGAAAACTGTTGATATACACACTGACTGTGTCAGGATGTAATAGAGGAAAATGGAAAAAAAAAAAAAAGTTAAAATAAATTTAGATGATGTAACTTTAGTATAACTAATGTACTTTTAAATCTGTGATTTCATCGTTTCCATCAGTAAAGAGGTAACTGTTGCAGGATTCTCATACACTGTTTTTCATGAAAGCTTGCAGGATTGAAAAAAATGTTTTAATTACATTTCATTATAAAACACATCATTATATTTTTCTAAAGTCTGTGAAAATACAAAGGTTGGTGTTATCTAGTCAAAAGACTACTTTAACATTCGCTGCCTCTTCTTAAACTTTGCTGTGAACCATTACTGACTGTACAGGCCGTGTGAGTTCAGCACTCAGACCACACTGTGAAGTCTCTTCCTGTCAAGTGATCAGTGTCTCACTCATGCCTCCTTCCCACTGAAGACTACTTGACTCTCCCTATTAGTAAACTTTATATGCCCTTCTTTTATTTGATATGAAGACAAATTAAGGCAGAAAAAAACAAACATAAAAACGTTTAGTCCAGGGTAAAAAAAAAAACTTAACCACTAAACGTGCTATCTCATCATGAACACAGAGAATCAGCTCTATGCACTGGCAGCATAAACAACATGAGTTTCCACTTGTGTCTCTATT